GGTCTGAAGATTCCAAAGACTTGAAGTTCTAAAGGTCCAAGGTTATCTACAACAGGATATCAAGACCAAATGCTGAAGGCTCTAAAGATGTAACTCTTAAGACTCTGAAGACTTGAAGCTCTTTTGATCCAAAGTTTCGCTACAACGGGTTCTCACGACCAAGTGTTGAAGACTCTGAAGACGCATTTCTGAAGACTCTGAAGACTTGAAGTTCTGAAGACCTAATGATATGTTACCACTTCTAAACTCATGCTTGCAGAAGCCTCTGAAGTGTAGAAGGAAAGAATATAACTGTAACATAGTACAATAGTATATAGTACGAAAAGCTTTATGCTAGTATCTCTCCACTAACTTGAAGTGTGGAAGAGATAAGTACGTAGCATTAATATTTGTAATGGCTGTTTTTGAAATAGTCAACGACTCTACTTTACTTGTCTATATAAGAAAAGAATTGTATGTTTAAACTGTTAATGAGCTTGCTGTAGGCTGCTTAACTGGATGCTAAAAGCTGCAAGTTGTAATTCACAGGTTGTTGATGTTCAATGTTAAAAATAAAAGCTGTCATTATTAGAACACAACCAAAAAGCTATATCCACTATAACAATATGAATAACTCTACAAGATGCTATTCAATCTACAAATCATATACATCTTGGAAGAATCATGAAAAAGCAAGGAGTTGTTGCTCGTATCTTGCTTAATGAAGAAAGATGATAAAGATGAAGAATTCTTCAAGATGTAATTCAAATCATTAATCATATACATCTTGACAGAATTATGAAGAAGCAAGGATTTGTTGCTCATAGCTTGCTCAACAAAGAAGATGAAGATAAGAAGACTACAAGATGTTGCACTTAACTTAGATTAGATTCATCTTTGTAGAAATATGTAAAACACAAGAGTTGTTGCTCAGATTGTGTTATTTCTTAAGATCTTCATGTAAATTGTTTGTACACAAGAGTTGTTGTTCAGAATTGTATCAAATAATATGTACTTAAATTAGGAGTAATCTGCTTGATAAGAATCACTCATGTAATCTCCAGAAAAACAATTCTGTTTAGAATTGGTTTATTCCTCAAGTGATCGAGTAAAGATCAGAAGACTTGAGAAGAATTTGGTTGTGGCCATCGTAGATGAAATCATGGTAGTGGATTCTATTGGGTCAATGGTAGTTGATGGGAAAAATAGCAAGTGTATTATTTTTGCCTTGCTGTAATAATGGGAGATTCCCCGAATATCGATCTCAAGGACTTCGTGCAATTATCGATTTCAATTCACGTTCAATTAAACAAAAACTTAATTTAGAGTTTTGGTTTTGATATTGTCACTTAGCAGAAATAAAAAATAAGCAGAATGTAAATTAGGGTTTTTTCACAGATATGAGGAACATGCTAGGATATGGTGTATAATTTGCCCTGTAACAATCTTGAATCCTGATCCCCTCAACAAGTTCATATCCTTCAATTACCAACCCTTTAGATTATCTTCCCCTAAGTCCTTAGTGGGAAAACCTTTAACCATCCATCCTAAATCATAAGTCCTTGGAGATATCTGATGGAGTCAAGCCTTTATTTTATCAAAGGTTAAATCTGGTAACTATAGGGTATCTCTAGTCCTAGGTGATATCTACTATAGCCTAATTATACAAAAAACTTAACAAGTGCAGTCCAGCTGGTTGTTAACCGTAAATCAATCCTAATTTGTCTGATCAGGAAGGCATAAAAAACTGTATAATTAAATTGAATAGAGAAGACTATTGTATTAAAGAAATTCAGGAATCAAAACCGTTTACAAATGCAAATCAGGGACACCCCCTAGAATTTTGGGGTTTATCTACTCATATTGTTCAAATAATCACAAGACAAAATATAGACATTAAAAGGATTTGGATAAACTTTGATCTTCAATTGCTTATGCGCATGAAAATCTTCCGCTCTCTGAAAACCTTGACTTCTCCAATCTTCAATCGTGTAAACTATTTTTCTCCTCAATAAAAGGTCAAAAAGTCTTATTAACCTAATAAGGGTTTTCACTACTAACTCAAACTAGGTCAGAAACATAAACCAGACCCATAAAACAACCCGAAACAACTAAGTTTCTAAAGTCTGTAACTTTAATAATTTTTTAAAGGATTCTACATTCTGAATCATCTTATGACTTCAAAATAAAATTTGTAGCTCTTTATCTCAGCTTTCCAACGAATATTAGAACGCGTCGGTCCAATTTCCGTAGTTCTAGTTATGAATTTTTTAGTGAAAACTGATCAATTAGCGCATTGTCTGACACGGCCCGTGTCAGGTGACACAGATGGCCGTGTCAGGCCTTCTGAAGCATGCCGGAAACTTTTTCGAAACTCTGAATTTTGCACTTTTTTCGCACTGATTTGTCCCGATTTATTCTTGTGAACCTGAAAACAGTAAAACACACAACCAACACATAAAAGTGGTAAAATGAAATAAAACACTTGACAATAAAAAGAAAGATAACTAAAATTAATGGTAAATAAATGTGTAAAAACCACTGATCAAACTCCCCCAAACTTAAACCGTTGCTTGACCTCAAGCGACAATTTCAAGAGTTCATGAAATTCGCAACATACGGTAGTTATACGTGAGATATTCGTTCACATTTATCAAAAGGCAGTCCGTCCGATATTCATATGACGTGAAGAGTTTGTTTAAGAACCTTTTAATTTCGAGTTTCCTCTTTGGATACCTCTCTAACTATGCTTTGTACTTAAGTCTCTTTTCGATTTTCCTCCTTTTTCATTTGGACAGTCAAATTAAGGCAATGAGAATTATTATGATCATCACATGCACAAGACTAATCAAGATTTTTTTGTTTAGGAACCAAATAAGCAGCATTGGCTACTTTTAATTACCGATGAAATTTTCAAACTTTGCAGTTATATATTGTCCTTTTGGACGACGTTTGAGGATCAACCCCCTTTGGTCTAAATAACCGAGTGAGGGCTACCCAACTTAGCGAGTCATTGCCTTTTACTGTCTTTTCATCATTTGGTGCAAAATTTATTTATTTCTCCATCAATCATACATGCATGTGAATCTATATTATGTAATTCTGTAAAAATAAACTACTTCAGGAGTACTTCTCAGAATTCAAGCACCGTGGTACAAATTTACACATTATACTGGCATCACTGTCACATTATTTCGAACTCCCTACCTCCAAACAATAATCCCTTTACCCCTTTATTCTGAGGCCAGTATTGTTATCTTATACTCTACTTTATGCAATTGGTATAAGATGATCTTCATCAAATGTGTATACCTCTTCTTGTATCCAAATCCTTCTCAAGCAACTACCTATGAACAAGAGTTGTCAAACAACTTAAGTTCCCTCTTCCAATTGTATCAAGATACCTATGGAATCAATTATGAGATTACCCCTGCTGTATCTGAAAGTCCAGAAGTAGGATCTACTTCTGGGTTGAGAAGAAGGAATTTTGAGAGATTTTTAAAAACTGTTGTGGGTAATAATAATTCAAAATCTGATCTTGAATCATATCTTGAGGATCCTCCTTTGAAAGTTCTCCCTAAAGTTAAATTTGATGTTTTAACATGGTGGATGGGGAATGAAGCCAAGTATCATGTTCTTAGTAAATTGGCAAAGGATATCCTAACGGTTTCAGTTACTACTGTTGCTTCAGAAGCAACATTTACTACTGAGAAAAGGGTTATTGATCCGAAACGATCATCTGTGAAAACTAAGACAGTTGAAATGGTATTTTGTGGAGGTGATTAGGTGATGGAGAAGTATGGGATTAAGAAGGGCTCAACTGCTTCAATTGTAAGTAAATTTTATTCTATCTCACTAATATATTTTTCATTTGTAGCTTCAGGAACCACAAGATGAACCTTTGACATGTCATTTTGGTGAGGATTCGGGTGTCACTTCTTCTACAACTGCAACTTAAAGATATGTATTTACAATGCTAATGATGAGATTGTTCCGAGACATCATTAATATAATGTAATGATATTTTGTACATTTTTGAAAACATAAGTTTCATAACTTATGTTTTAACAAGTTTTTTTGATACAATATTGTTATGATATTGTAATATTTATATAATGTCGAATGATGATACAATGTGAATTACGTATCAAAAATATGCACAATATTATTTAAATTCGGTTTGGTCTCGGTTTACCCAAACCTATCAGACCGATTTCGGTCCCAAAAAAACCAATACTATTTTGGTCCTCTCAATTTATCCAATTAGGGTTCCAATCCGCTCCTCAAGAGAGCAAATACCCAGATCGAACAAAAAACAGCCCTAGTCGTGTTAAGATATATCTACTCGTGTTATTAAGTGCATCTTCCTTGTTTATTCTCGTGTTCAAACAAAATGAATATCGATGTTTTTCTCTTTGTACACAATGGTTCCACATTACTTACGAACACATCATACTTATTCAACTCAAATGCTTATCCAATCATTAATAGAGTAAACTCCTTTTTATTCCTAATTCAGTAGCTGAAGATTTGCCGTGAAGGAGATTAGTTAGTTATTCAACCACGTGAAAATCATTGAAAGAATGCCTCCAACAAACTTTCTACTAGAATGCCTCCAATAAAAATCTCCCAGGAAAGAAATTGAAAGAATAAACAATTATGATCTAACCACAATGATGTATATTGACAACAGTAGAATGCATCAATAATGACAGAGGGTGATGATAATAGTTAGTACAATAATGCAGGTGATAGGCATCACAGCATCAGAGAATGATGTCAGCAGTGCATGGACTTCACCATGTCAGAAATGGTGAAGGGCAGAGAATTGAAAGGAAATAATTCCCAAAAGTGGAACAGACAAAAATCTTCAATCAAAAATTGTTTCCCTATTTTATAAAGAACAGAGATTAATCGAAAGGCACTTTCCATAAATGATATAGTCAAAACAAGATATAAAGAAGTAAAAGCACACTACATAATTTAACCAAAACAAAACTTTGTCTTCCAAAATAAAACCCTTATTTCTTCTTATCACCTGCTCCACCAGCCCTGCACACAATCAAAAGATAACACATGAAGTCAAATTATATTAAGTAAACAAAAAATCCAATAACGAAAACACTTTGCATGTATAAACACAAAAAAGAATGAAGTGCAACCTCATCTTCCTAAGAACATTAGACATCTCCTCGCGCTTCTTCTTTGCGCGCTTATGTGTTCCAAGCTTTCTCTTGGCAACTTTGAGTGCCCTCTTATCCTTTCCAACCTTGAGCAATTCAGTGATCCGCTTTTCATAGGGTGCAAATCCAGCAACCTCACGGATTAGGTTCCTTACAAAGTGCACACGCTTGCTTGTTTTCTGTTGAATGCATGCAACATACTTAGTAACAGACCAATGAACATCATAACAGAATCATACATTAGTCCCTTTCAACAAATTTCAATCTCATTGGAACAAAACTGATCTCAAATCTCTAATCAACAAACATTACACTAAACTTGAAATAAACTGGCATATAAATCGTAATTGGAAACAGAAAACAAAATTGAAAAACGTACCCCTTTACGACTCGAGGGTCGTGGAGCCAACTCCTTATTGGTAACAATATGACCCTTGTTCAATCCTACAAAAACACCACTACTTGCCTGCTTCGGAGCCATTTTCCTGGAAAAAAAATTCCCAATTCAAAAACCTCAAAACCAAATTCAATCTAAGAGCAATGTTAAACGAATTAAATCAACAATAAAATTGATTGAAAAAGTGAGAAGAGAAGGAAAAAGACGATTCATGTACCTGCTGTAGGTTGAACTAGGGTTTGGAGGGTTTCAGTTTCGCTTTTTATGAAAACCCATATATGTTGGGTCGGGTTATGGATTCAACGAAAACCCAGTAAAATAGGCTTTTTGGTACGGTTATAGGTGTTACTTTTAGCACCTATTGTTTTCTTTTTTCTTTCGAAATTTAACTTTCATAATCTCAAAAATGTTTTTTTTTTAAATAAGGATAATTTTTTTAACGAAATTTTCGGTATAATAGTGAAAATTTTAAGTATCTATAAAATTTTCGGTAGTTCATTTGAAATTTCTGATATGTATAAATTTCTGGTAATTCATTTAAAATTTTTGGTAAGAGTAAGTTCTTTTCAGAAATTTCAAAATCTATCATTCTGCATCGAAAATTTAGTTATATGATAAAAAATTTGGTAGTATATTGATCAGGATTTTGCCGACATCTTTGTAGGATTCTGATTGTACTGATAAATTTGTGTGGTCTATAATAAATTCAAATTTGTATAAATAGGGGCATATGTTATAAAGAAAGACATCTAAAAAATGTCTCTTCTTCAATTTCAGATTAAGGCGGAAGTGTATTTCAACGGAAACAATCCTCCTGTTGAATTCAAGTTTCTAGATGGCACCACATCTCTCGCCAACTTGAAAGACAAGTTGAATGAATTGTTGTCTGATAACGATGACATAAGGGTGAGAAAGGTCGAGTTTCAAGAAGATTGGATTGATACAAATGGAATGGTGAAATATAACCTGATTGAGGTGAAGACTGATCAAGATGTGAAAGTCACGTGGAAATAATTTCCCCGTAAGATAACTAATGTAATATCAAGCCTTTCAACAAACTTTGTTTTGATGAAGACAAATCATAATGGCAAGAAGGCAAAGATGTTGATCAAGCTAAAGCATCATTGGATAAAAGTCCTTGGTTCAAAGCTCTTGGCAAATTTCAAGGTATAATAACAATCTTGCTATGAACTTAAGTCTAAGATGCTCAAGGATCAAAAGAAGTGTTTAAAACTTGTCCAAACTTTTTCTCAAGTTTTCTAAGAAAAAAAATCCATTTTTACTTCTGTGCAATTGATTGTATGACTCACATTTTCAGCTATCTTGCTTATGTTTCTTAGTGAAATCGATTTATGCAAGAGTGCAATCAATTGCTCTCTGGTTAAAAATGCTTCTGCTTTAAAGTGCAGTCGATTTGCATGTTTATGCAATCGATTGCTCACTAAAAATATTTGAAATTTCTGGCTGTTAGAACTCGTGCAATCGATTTGCATCAAGGGTGCAATTGATTGCTTGCTAAACATTTTTGAAAAACAACAACTTTGAACATACCTTTTCATAACACCACTTCATGGAATCTTTTCATTTAATCTTGGAAATTGTTCATGATTAATCTACAGAAACTTATGTTGTTTCAAATGGATGCTATGAACATATAAATACTGAAATTTCAAAATAAAAAATAATCTCTTCCAATCAATATTTTTCTGAATTTTCAAATATTCAACTCAAGCCTTTTTCACTTTCATTCAAAAAGTTTTATGCATATTTTCATATCTTGGATAACAGAAAACTTTAAGCAATCTAAGTCTTGAGTTATTGTATATCAATGTTATTGGAAGAGAAGATCAAGTTATTGATAAAATCACTCAAAGTGATTATTGCTCTACAAACTCACTCAATCAAAATATTGATGTACACTTTCTTATTTTTCAAGATTGTTGAAAATAAGATTAGTGGTTTTTTGTACTCTTGTTTTTCCAGGATTGTTGGAAATAAGTAAGGTCACCTTGAGAGGATTGTTCTCATTGTTGACATAGTGAAAATTCAAGAGGACTGTTCTTGGTCCAAGAGGATTGTTCTTGGTTTTGGTAGTTCTTGTTTAAGTTTGTCAACTATAAGGAAATCTCTTTCATGTTGAAAGGGGACTGGAGTACTCTCGGACTGTGAGGGGAACCAGGATATATCGCTTGTGTCTCTTTATTTTTCTGCACTTTACTCTTTCATAAACTCACCATAAACCAGAAAAATAATATCCATCATCAATAAAACCAGAAAAATTTTAAAGTACCTAATTCACCCCCCTCTTTGGCGCACTTCGTACTTACAATTGCATCAGAGCAGGTTATAGGTAACTTGTTCCTAGAGATCCATAATGGCTTCCGCAAATCAAAATCATGTTTTCAGAGATGGTGGTAGTAACAACAAGCCTCCTCTATTCTGTGGTGAATATTTTGACTTCTAGAAAATATGCATGAAGGCACATCTAGAAACACAAGGAGAAGAAATATGGGATACCGTCGAAAATGGTCCATTTATTCCTATAACGGTGATCAATGGTGCTGGTTCATCAAAGCCTAAAACTGCATGGGATGAAGATGATAAGAAAAAGATCCTCTATGGAAAAAAGGCAATAAATCTTCTTCAAGGTGCACTTAGCATGGATGAATTCTTCTGTGTCTCGGCATGCAAAACGGTGAAAGAAATATGGGATACCTTGGTACAAACTCCTGAAGGAACTATTGAAGTTAAACGATCAAGATTAAATACTTTAAGTAAAAAATATGAGTTATTTCGAATGCATCCCGAAGAATCCATCCTTGACTTGCAAAAAAGATTTGTACACTTGACAAATCATCTAAGTGCTCTTGGTAAGACTTTAACTAATGATGAACTAAATTTTAAAGTGCTTAAATCTTTAACTAGGGAATGGCAACCAAAAGTAACGATAATTTCTGAAAAGAAAAGTCTTTTTACAATGGCGTCCGCAACGTTGTTTGGAAAACTCCAAGAATATGAAACGAAACTCGAAAGACTTGAAAAGCATGAGAATCAAGAGAAGAAATCCAAGAATACTGCTTTAAAGATTGATTCCAAGGAAGTTGAAAAGGAAGAAAATCTGGAAGAAGATGAAAATTGCACGCTTCTTGTTAAAAGGCTTGGTAAGTTCTTTGATAGAAATGGAAAATCCTTTTCTTATGCAAAAAGAAAGAAACAATTCAAGAAAAAGGAAGCTTCCATATCAACACAAGAAGTCACATGTTATGAATGCGGTAAGCAAGGTCATATAAAGCCGGATTGTCCGAAACTCTCCAAGAAAGGTAGTTACAAAGGCAAAAAGGAATTTAAGAACAAAAAGGCCTATGTTGCACGAGAGGATAATGAGATAAGTTCTTTGTCCGATTCCGATAGTGATGAAAGTACAAATCTAGCATTGATGGTCTCACACCATTCCGCTGATGAAGATGACGAGGTTAGTAATGAATTTTCTTTTTTTGATAATGATGCACAAGGTGCTATAGATGAACTATTGAATGAATGCAAAATTTTGTACAAAACTATTTCATCTCAAAAGAAACAAATTTCATCTCTAGAAGAAAAATGTGAATCTATGGAAAAAGATATAAAAGATGAAAAATAAAATTTTAGTGAGTAAAAGCAGAATTTTGTATGCAAAAATTGTGAATCACTCTCTTTCCAAATTGTCCAATTAAAAAGAGTTATTGAGAGATGTCAAAAAGGTCAAATTGGATTGGAAGGTGTTCTTAGCCAACAAATGTATTTCAATGATAAAAGTGGACTTGGATATTCAAAGGTTTCAAGACCAAGTTCTAATAAAACTATCTTTGTTAAGGCTAGTGATCAATCATCCAAAGAGAAAGTGAACAAACCTAAAGTGGTTCATCATTATCCTAAAAAGAAAAATTTTCCTAAGAAGAAATCTTATCCTTCTAGATATAGAAGTAACTTTGAACCTACTTGTTTTTATTGTGGTATTAAAAGCCACACACTTAATGTTTGCTATGCTAGAAACTTTAGTGTGGCAAGTGGGTATTATGTGTGGGTAAAGAAAGGTACTAATTATGAAGGACCCAAAGTAACTTGGGTACCTAATAAAACCTAATTTGTTTTGTAGGTATGCTTTGAAGACCACATGCAATCTATGGTATCTTGATAGTGGTTGTTCAAATCATATGACGGGAGACATAAACCAATTTCCAAATCTAGTGCTAAAGGCCAAGGGTTTTGTCACTTATGAAGACAATAATAAGGGAAGAATTCTTGGCAAAGGCAAAGTTGGTGCTCTACCTTTCACATCCATTGAAGATGTTCTTTATGTTGAAGGACTAAAGCACAATCTTCTTAGTATTAGACGACTTTGTGACAAAGTCTTCAAGATCAAGTTCATCAAAGATGAATGTTTGATAGAAGACGAAGTCACACATGAGGTTATACTTAAAGGTAAAAGAATTAATAATATATTTCTGATTTCCCTTAATGATCCATCTTTGAAGGTAAAATGTCTCATGGAGAACAATGATGATTCATGGCTTTGGCACAAAAGAATTGCTCATATTCACATGGAACACTTGAATAAATTAATCAAGCATGATCTTGTCATTGGGTTGCCTGAGAGAAATTTTGTCAAAGATAGACTTTGTGATGCTTGTCAAAAAGGGAAACAAACAAAATCAACTTTCAAATCTAAGAATGTGGTGTCTACTACAAAGCCACTACATTTTTTGCATATGGACTTATTTGGTCCATCAAGAATAAGAAGTTTCAGAGGTAATGTATATGCCTTGGTTATTATTGATGATATCATCTTCGGTGCATCAAACAAAGAAATGTGTGAAGAATTTTCAGCAATAATGCAAGGAGAATTTGAGATGTCCATGATAGGTAAAATGAATTATTTTCTTAGACTTCAAATCAAGAAATTAAAGGATTGAATCGTCATCAATCGATCCAAGTATTGCAAGGAATTGTTGAAAAGATTTGACATGGATAATTGTAAAGTTGTGACTACTCCAATAGGTTCCGGTACATATGTTGATCAAGATGAATCAGGTGTCTCTGTTGAT